GAAAACTACTTCTGGGTCAAAATTTCCAAAAAAAAAAAAAAAATAGATGCATGATTGAATACACTGTATTTATAATTGATTATATCATACTAAGTACTTACATTTCTTTTGTAAGTGGTTATAACTTCCTCCCCAGAATTTTAATTTCACGGACCAAGTCTCGGCTCTTTAATGGACAACTTCCCTAGAAAATTTTTGGCAAAAGGTGCAGATCACCCCCTCAACTCAACAACTGGTGGCAAATCACCCCCTCAACCCACTTCACGCGCAAATTACCCCCTCAACTCACCTGCAGTGGCAAATCACCTTCTCTGTTAACACCAGCACCATCCTTCCATTAGCTTTTAACAGTCTACTCATAAGCCCTTCCTCTATGTTTGACGTGGCCTTTTTTTTGCTAAGATGGATGCTGAGGTGGAGACACACCTAGACAAATCACCTCAAAATTAACAGATCAAACAAAATCCTTGGTGGAATGGCGGATGGTTTAAGTAGCATGTGGGACTACCGGGCAGTTTATGTTAAAAATACCTGAGATAGAACAATCAGAACAACCAAAATGGCATAGCATCATGGTAACACAATTGAAATTGTTAAGGATATGAATGAAAATGGTGAATGGAGATTGAAGCATGAGGGATCTATTGACGGCAAAATTGGGTGGCAACCTTCCTTTACTTATTGCCTCACTACGGTTGTGATTAGGTCTCCAACAGTGTTCTCTTGCGACGTAACAACTTGCATTGCACCTACGCTACCTTGTATTGTCATGTTCAAGAACAATTTCGTCAACTTTGGTCTCCCCTTTGACGAGGAAACTCCAAGAGGAATATTCCTCTCCAACCGTAGTCTGGCAGCTTCTTCGAACACCGGAGCTCAGCGTCTTTGGCAAAATTGAGTTGAGTTTGGTTGGGCGAGTCACAACTTGGGTGGGTGAACTTGAGTGATCCAATCAACAAAGGGAAGACAAGGGGCCAAAAAAGCCTAAAACCAAAATCCCCAAACATTACCTGCGAGTGTGTGGAAATAGCAAAAATGGTGAACAAGAAGCTATTAAGTCCTTTTCTCCTTTACCTATCTCTCTCCTCTCTCATTCTCCTCATCATTGTTACCTTAAGACACTGTCTTTTTAACCTCTTTTCCCCATATTCTACAACCAAAAACTGGTTTTTTTCACATACCCTACTTTTGTTTTCTTCCTCTTGTTATTCATCCTTTCTCATCCCTTCTTTTGGGTACTTGGTTTTTTTGTTGGAGAGCATCTAGGTATTGAGTTTTTGCGAGATGGTAACGATCTGAATCTGGGTTTTGAGTTTCTTTTGTTTGTTTTTTATTTTTTACTTTTATTTTTTTTTATCTAGGTTTGTTGTTTAAATGAAAATGGTGAGTCTGATTACATAAACAAGCCATGTCAGATGCAGAGGAGGGGCTGAAGAAAGAAGTGTCAAGCTTGTTGCATTGAGGGCTTCCATTGCATGGTTATTTGCTTCTTTGCTCTTAGAGAAACGAGGAAGAAGAAACTAGTTGGAGATGGTGCTGAAATGGCATTAGATACTAGATTACAATCCACTTATAAAATGACACTTGGCGAGTGAGATGATCTTGTCTATAGATGAAATTTCCGATTTAATAGAGAGGTGGGTGAATGGACTGTTAAAAGCTAATAGAAGGATGATACCGGTGTTAACAGAGGGGGTGATTTGCCACTACAGGTGAGTTGAGGGGGTGATTTGCGCGTGAAGTGGATTGACGGGGTGACTTGCACCTTTCGCCAAAATTTTTCCAGGCTCCTAATAAATCAAACAAGGCCTAAGCGTCGTATGATAGAAGGCCACTTTATTAAAGATAACTTTGTTAAATTAGAGAATAAGCAAACTGGTCCCCTCTAATAATTTTTACTGACAAAAAGGTCCTAATAAAACTATAGAAGCAAACTCATTCACCTTAAAAATCATTGAACGGAAGGAGTAATATTTAGTTTCAAGCATCTGAGTGACTTGAGCCCACCCAGCAATTACCTCTTGGATGACAACTTCAGTCATGTCAAATGTCCTTGTCTTTACTGAGAATCTGATTGGTAATGTAAATTTTATTAAATGATGAATTTAAATTTCTTATTTAATAATACTTAAATAGGGTGTAATTGAATTTGAGTGAAATATGTATATTTCACTACATATGTTTTAAATACCAAAAATCATGTATTTCAAATACTAAATCCATGCTTTAATTTAGAAATTTCAATTTTATAATGAATTCACCTCTCTATCATTTTCTTTTTTTTGTTTCCCGCTCGGTATTTAGGGCTTCGCTCCCGATTAATTCGGACTCGACTCGGGTTGCGCACCTAAAAATGGTGGGTGAGTCTCCCAACAAAAACTGCTGTGTACACAAAGTTTCAAATTCGAAACCTTACTTAAACTAAAACACATCACTTACCACTTGATCCAACCTCTCATTAGTACCTCTCTACCATTACATCTCTCAATTTGTCAATGTTGTTAAGTCTCCATAATGACTTCTATTTATAGTTTACTCACAAAAATTCTCCCACTCCCTCTTGTCGGTTGACCCCTCAAACCAATCCCAAATCGCACCTTCCCCTTTGGGTTTTCATCATTTCTGTTGATGATAGATTCTAGATTTAAACTTGAATATTTTCATTGGATATTTCTTCTTCTAATTGCCTTTTATTGAAATGTTGTTCATGCTATTGTTTATATTTGCTAGTGAATTTAAATTCTTAAATATGTAATTTAAGTATCCATATGCTAAATCACTAAAATTTAGTATTTAATTTCAATTCTCATAAAGTTCAACTTATGGGTATTTCTCTTTGTTCATGTTTTTTACTTGAACCTTGATACCATAACCTAGGGATTTGAATCTCTTCGTCTTCTTTAAAAGTTATTTTCCAGGAGGCTGAGACGTCACCATGTAAAGGTGTTTCCAGTTCATCGATCATGGACATCATTGGAGCACGCACTAGTGGCTGAGCTAGCGGGTCCCATGCTCCCCATAAACTTTGGAGAAATAATTAATAAGATCCCTTAAGTTTTGTTTTTGTTATTTTTATCTTTAAATTCAACCTATTTTCCTTTCTATTGTAGTCCCTTTTCTAGTAGTTAATATTATTATTATTATTAAAAATTACTTTTGATGTTGATGATGATGAGAAGGACCATGAAAAGAAAGATGAAATTTTAATAGAATTCATGGTTAAATGAATGAAAAATTACTTATTATCATCTTCTATACTTACTTTACTTATTTTGTTCAGTAATACTTTCTTTTTATATTTTTATATTGAATTATATAATGAAAAGTAATTCAAAATTTAAGACGTCTTATTTTTATATAAAAGAGATTATCACTAAGTATTATTCAAAATAATTTCTTTTTTTAAAAAACTTTATGCTAGATTGACTTTTCAATGGACAAAAAATGCATATCTTTTAATCAAAGTTTCATTTTGCCTGTCCTAAAGTTTTTTTTCTGGTTCTGCCACTGGCTAGCACTATACATGGCACAGTAGCATATTAATAATACATACATGCATTTATGTAATTTTTTTTTTTTGAGTTGTAAAATAGTAGATAATAATGCTTTTTAGAATTTTTGCTTGGTGTATTAGTCTCAGAAATTTGTTTGGTATACCAAGACTTGCATTTTGGGGCCAGGTTGACATCACAAAATCTGCACGCACCCTACCCTACGTTGGGCTGGATATTTGAAATCTAAAGCCAACCTTGCACGTCAAACCTTAGCAAAGTCGTTGAGATCGGGACGTTCGTGCTTAGAAAAATTTCAACGGTATCTATCTCGTCACAATACAAGAGATATCAAGTGACATGCACAACACGCAATCCTAACTATGTTCGGACCTAGAAAATAATATGAGGGAGGTGATAATTTTATTGATAATTTAAATCTTAAATATCATTTTTATGACAGTAATTAATTTTTTAAAAAAATAAAATTTCACACCCCACTTCCTCCACCCCTGATCCTAACACAACCGGCTACCCAGCCTCCCTTAGCCCACCGCTAGGAGGTCTATGGCAGGGAGATGCTAATTCCATTGATGTCAGCCATGTAGGTTTCATGCTCTTTTCTATGCTATAAACACTGCAAGCTTCTTGACATCGGCTTGCTTAGTGTTTTTCCTCCTCCTTGATGAAACCATAGATCTTCTTTACAGCGCGGGTCTTATTATTCGCTCTCTTGAAACGTTGTTAGTGATCTACTTGGAAGTTGTGATAAAATCACACATCAAAAAAATATATATATATAATATCACGTATATATGTATTTATTTATTTATTTAATTATCTATATTAAGGAATTCATGTATTATAATTTGAATTTATATTAAAAGAACAGTTTATCTTATGAATTTATTAAAATATTTTTAATAAAATAGTATAAAAATTAATTTAAATTAAAAATATTTAAGTAAATTTATATGACAAATTACATTTTTATTATACAATTCACCTTATAGAAAACTTTTTTTGCTTTATTAATGTCATCTTTCAGCATAATCAATTCTACCAAAAAAGTAAAAATAAAAATCTTATTACATCAGAATCACAGTGCTAAAGCATCTACATTACTAAAGAAGCTGGTCTGTGAACACAATCATGGGTTACATTCCAATAGAATAGTCCTTGTCTGCCTTGTGACCGAAGCTCTTGATTCCATACCTTGTAGAGAAACTGAAAAATCAAGCAACCCCCTTTAGACAGTTCATTTTTTAAAATTTTCACTGTGGCAATGCATGATTAATTAGTTATTCTGTTTTAGAACAAGTGAAAAAGAATAAGGCAGTTTTACAACTCTCTAAGTTACCCCGGCCAAATACCTGGGACTTGATGTTTGAGGCTGAAATCTAGAGGAAGCAGGGCAACTAATGGAATTGTAGCTTTTAACCACGGGAACAAGTGACTGTACAACATCCACCATTAAAGGCCGATAGTCGGCTTCAGGTTGCACGCACATGGCAGCAATGGCGGCTATCTGTAAACCCAAGTTTGGGGAGAAATATAAAAAGTGACAGGCTTCAGTGGAGCTATGTGGGGAAGGTATTCTGGTGACGACAGGATAAACGGAATTTACCTGAATTAGGTCTTTCTTTGAATACTGGCCTTCTAATACCGGATCAACCATTTCAACTACCTTATCTCTGTTAGTTAGCCTTGGAAGAGCCTGTTAAATCACAAGAAGACCCGAACATTACTTCATTAACTTTCCAAGAAATCAATCATTTTCATTCCTCAAAAGCTAAACTTCAGATATTCCAGTTTCAGAAGCAACTTTTTCTTATGATTGTGCTATAAAACAGTAAGTAATCCCTCCACTTTCTATTGAAGTTGAGATTTGATCCTATATAAGTCTGTGATACAACCATAAAAGATTTTACCAACTAAACTGGTAAGATTTTATACACTAAGGAGATGTCAAAAATGGTTTGTATCTGTACTATTTTTAGTTTTTGCCAGGTCGCTTTTGCCATTTATGTAGCATGCAGACATCAATAAGAAGGGAAAAGGAAGGATATTGGTTACAAACCCATGAAACAAGAACATGTTCTCCAGAAGGCCTCTTCGTATCAACTGGTACACGGCCTGTTAACAGTTGTAAGAGAACTACACCATAGCTGTATACATCTGATTTTGTAGTAAGCTTGCCTGTCGAAGCATATCTGCAATGCACCAAAAATTTATGGAAAGTAGAGTCATGATATTAGTCTAAGTTGCATTCTTGTTTAGCCTAATTTACATTATGCACTTAACTGCAGTGCTTGTCAGTTACCAATCTAAATTGCTAAGGCAATGTTCAGAGGAAAATTCTAATGATGGTCGCAATTATGTTAACATCGGACTTATGCACAAATACAGTGTAGAAATGGATCAAGAATTAATAGTCTTTAACAAACATAAATATCAATCCTTATCTGCAGTCCGCAATCTGCAAAATGCTATCCGATGCCTTTAAAGGGTATGGGGCCTAGCTTTCCCAAAACAGTGTTTATGAATTAAGTGAAGTGACAGGTTGCCTACGGTACCATTGGTGGTTGCGCCCATGTGCAAACAGTTGTGTAGAGTAGAATATGGCATTATTAACTGGTATGGAACTGGCAATGATAAATTTTGATAAGGAAACATCGATACATGACACATGACAAAGTACTCACTCTGGGGCCAGATATCCTGTGGTCCCCAACACCCGCGTCAAAATCTGACCATTGATCTTCTCTGACCCTATCTTGGCCAATCCAAAATCAGACACCTTGGCACGGAAGTTTTGATCCAGTAGAATATTAGTGCACTTGAAATCACGGTGGATTACAGTGGGGATGGAATGATCATGGAGGAACTCAAGGGCTCTAGCACAATCAAGGGCTATCCTTAATCGGATCCCCCAATCCAATGGTTGGTATTGGCCCTTGGGGCTGTGGAGATGTTGCTGGAGGGTACCATTAGGCATGAATTCAAATATCAATAGCCTATGCTGCTGGTCCGCACAATAGCCAAGCAGCTGCACTAAGTATGGAGAGTGCAAGCGGCTTAGCAGGTCCACCTGCAAAACCACCCATTTCCAGGATGGAATAGAAAACATGATGAAAATGAGCATTAGAACGGACAAAGAATAAAATTCTGCATAAATAAAGATGATAGTGCTGACTTTGTAGCAGTGTTGCAAAAAGGGCGCCTAGGTCCCTAGGTGGCACCACTATATTTATTTGGCATCTTTTGCCAAAAAGGAAAAATGTTTGGAGCACCTAGGCGGTCCCTCTGCAACACTGCTTTCTAGCTGTTAATTGATCACAATTAAGCAGCTAAAAATTGACTTTGAAAAGCAGCAGATTTTCTTCTCTTTAAGAACTGAGATCAAACAGATATAAACAAGAATGGTTAATGCATGGGAAAAGGTAAAAGGAGGAAGCGAAAAAAAAAAAAAGAAGGATAATAAATGAAGTCACTCTCGCAAACCTCCATCCTAAATGCTCGCTCCCCTTGCTTTCTATCTCTTTGCAGCCTCTTAATTGCTGCCACGGTCCCATCAGCCAAGACTCCTCTGTACACCACACCAAACCCTCCATTTCCTATCACATTTACCTCACTGAAGTTATCTGTGGCCAATTCCAGCTCCTTGTATGTCAAGACTTGGACTCCTCTGTATCTGCTTGGAGTTGAGAGCAGCAGGTTTCCTCCGTTAAGACACCGTTCCCTCACATCTGCCCCATTTTCAAACACACCCAGGTCAAAGTTTTGCGAAGGATAATTGGAAAAACTTTACCTCCTTTCATACCCAATAGGTAACTCTACTACTAGACCACCACGTAGCTGGTAGTAATACTAAATAGGATATTTATCCTGCAAGTGAGATTGAATAATAAAGAAACAACTCCTAGCTTCTGGAATGAAAACATGAACAATAGATACTGCTAGTACAACAACAGCTGAGAAATGAAAGCATCCATAGTTACCTGGGCTATAACTGAAGTCTGTAGCGGTATGAGCAATGAACCTGCTGCTATTGTTCTTCTCATTGCAGCTGTCATTTTTTCTGGCGGATTTGATTCTACGCAGCATTACAATAACTAGAAATATTGCGAAAACTATGCAGATAGAGATGATGGATACAATGATCAAAATGATGGAATTAGAGGAAAGGATGTCATGGTGGTGGGTTGGGGATTGAGAATGAAAATAAGGGTCCTTATGAGCAAGGTTTTCTGCAGAGCCACTGAAACCAGGTGGCCTTGCAGCTGCTGCAGTGGTACTGTCTTCCATGAGCACAAAAGCCAAAGACACAAAGAAGAGATGAGAACTATAGAGAGATGAGGAGAAAGAATATATTATGAGGGTTGAGTTTCCCCTTCCTTAGAGGTCACATAGCCTGTATGGCCACAAAAGATCTCTTCCTTTCTGTCTCGTGAATGATTAAGTGGTCTTTTGTACCAATTCCGTCCCATCCTTTGTAGTTTCTACGGAATAGTCTTTGTCTCTGTATCAGAAAAGCTTGGAAGCATTTACCCCCTATCCACGTCTGTATTTATCCCAATTATTACCCAATAATGAAGCTAAATTCTGCAAATTTTTGTCATATTTGATCCTATTTCCAAACCCAGTAAGCATAAAACAAAAAGATTTCAAGAGTAGTGGAAAAATTCTTTCGGTCCTTATCCTTATTAGGTGGTCTATGATCATGATTTTCCCGAGAAAGTGGGACTCTTTTGCTGTCTCCACCCATGTCTAGTAAAAAAGAAAAACAAGTAGATGTCCTTTTCTGTCTCGTAACAAAATTTCTAACTGGATTAGATAGGCTAAACTAGGTTTTATAGAGGAATTTATCTAGAAATGTAATGTAAGGAATTGCAGAAGGAGAGAAGTGGTACAAAAGAGGTGTAGTTCACTTGTACGCAAGATTTATGTATTATATTTATATAAAATTTTAATTATTTATCTTTTTAGTTTTAATAGTTAAAATTTATTATAATTTTTTAAATAAAAATATAATTACTTTTAATAAATGTGAATAAATCTTAATAATTAAAAGTAAAAAAAAAAATAATTAAGATATTGTAGAAATGTGATAGGTAAAATTTGGGTATAGGTGAATTCATAATTAATACAAAAACATAGATAATTTAGAAGTTTGGTACTAATGTTATTTGAGTATATTCAATTCATGGAGAGATTGAATAGAATTCGTCGTGAAATTGTTAATCTTGACACAAATAATATGATTTTGACCATAGCAGAGTTGATTTGGTATTGCATGAACTCAGTAGAAATATTACCTAAATGAAAAATAAATAAATAAATAAAAGAGACAAAAATAAATAGAGACAATTCCGGTCTTACAGTGTAGGGCCTAAATTCACATGGTAGAATAAAGTTTTTGTAAGGAGCCTATATTTTGTCTAAATGAGATGATATTTCTCATTTCTTTTTGCTCATCTAAATTTTTGGGATTAAGCCAGTTTAGCTTGACCTTCACTGCCAATTTAATTGTCCAAGTTGTCACAGGCTTCCAAATTTTTAACATTGTTGCTTCTAAGTTTCTGCAAATCCTGGTAATAGTTCAGAAAAAAATCTTGAATTGACCTGATTTCATGGCACTTGTCATACTGGTACATGTCAAAAACAACAATGGAAATTCTAAATTATGTTGCAAATTCCACATAAATATGTTTCCAGCAGGTGAATAAATTCTGCATAAATATGTTTGACTCTTAACTAGTCAAGAATCAAGATCCTTTAAAAGTTCTCTGTATCTTTTACTTTACCTACTTCATGACCCAAATAGGAGTTAAAAATGACAACAGTTTTCAGCAGAGGGAGAGCGAGAGAAAGGAAATGGAAATGCTTGCCCGTGTAGGTTGAACAAGTCATGAGGATCGTAGATTCTGGTGTTAAGTAACAACTGGTTCTAGCTAGGAATTGAATTCAAGTGGGGCTATGTTGAAACTAACAAAAAAATATACACCCATTTTGCATGATTAGGTCAAGGCTGTCTCCCAATATTTAAGGCATTAAATACCATCAATCATGGATGACCTCACCTATGAAAACATTTACATCTACCCTTACATTTTTGCATCTGACAGTTTTTACAGATAAAATAAATAAAATATCAAGCATATCATCAAAACTCCTTTTTGGAAACATCGCAAAAGACCATCAATGTACCCACCAGCACTCCTTACTAAACAGGATTTTAATTTTGGCTACCTAAGATTCCTTGATGGATATGCAGGCAAGCCAAACCATGTCATGACCATCACTGCCATATGAGTGCAAAAGGCCAAAGGATAACTCCTACCTTTGTTTGCAGCAGTTAAAGTAATTCATGTTTCCAATTATCTGTCACAAAAAGTAATGAGTGATGCAAAAGTTCAGTGGAATACGCAAAGAATCCATTCAGAATATTGGAACTTCCTATAGATGCCTCATTCATACACATGAAGCATCTCAAGGGCTCAAGGCCTCTTCCTGAACTGAAGTTGTAAGCTATACAGTTTTATCAATCATCTGGAAAACCTAGGAACCTGTTTATAAGTTTGGCAATTGGTGTAGCATCTCCTGGACAGTATGGAAGCAGAGACTCCAAGTTCATGCTGGCTATTGTGTGACAAAGGTTCTGAGGACGAGCACAATACAAATGCTTCCTCTCTGCTAGCTCTTCTGCAAGCTCACTTTGATGATTATCCATCAAATCTTCATTCACCACCACAATTAGAGGTTTACCAAGCCGCAGAGTCTCAAATATGCTACCAGATCCTGCACAAGATCATAAACAATTGCAGATGAACTTCCTCTGTCTAGATACATAGGTGTATCTTTCTAATTGCATAATTTACTTAGGTAATGGCATGTTGCAAATATCACTAATATAACTTTTCCTATTTCCTCCAGGAGAGATGGGGACCTAACTGAAGGAGGCAACTAGTAATGTATTAGAATGCTACTCTATCAGATCCCAAACTAATGAACCCTGGGGTATGCAATTTCATCTCCTATTTTGCATCTCTCTTCCGAGTCAGGAAACTGGGGCCTGCTTGTAACCTCCGTGTGAAAATCAATTATTGGTGGAGTTTCATTACTTGACAAAAATACTTGTAAGGCAGCAAATACAGGGTCTAAAAACTGTTTAGGCAGAGATTGAATACAAGATATTGACTAGGGGTTGATAAGTTGATAATGGGGAGGGGGCGGTCAACATAAAAATAAAACTTGGTTAAAAACATGCAGAACAATCAATGAATGGGCAAAAAGTTGGAAGAATTGTTAAATTTCTGATGGTTTCACTTACTCAGAATGGATAAGAAAGAAAAGGAGTGGATGAAACTTAAAAGGGCAAAATCACTGAAGCCTTGGCCCAAAAATACAACGATGAAACGATTATTTCAAACTAACAGATGACCATGACTAAAGGTCTCAAGCAGGCATAAAAATAAATCAAATGATAAACCAAAAATTTAATCATTCTGAAAATATTTCTTAGAAAATATGATAGTGAAATGAATTTTTGCTCCCAACCCAAAATGAAGCATTCTTATATGTGTCCTATATTTGCAGTTGATGTTGCCTTCTTTACTTCAATTGCAATGTTTCACTGTATCTAAAAGCTTCAACACAAAAGAAAGCAGTATCTTAGTCTATCAATTTGCAAAAGATGCATTCAGTAAAAACAATTCATTTAAACCTTTTCCGGAATTTGGCCAAAATAAAAATAAATCCTTTCCAGAAGGTGGGTTCATAGATAGAGCTTCAAGACAAATAAAAGTTTCACTTAATTAAGAGTAAGCTTGACAAGACAAACACTGAGTTCAGAACCTAATTAAAAAATATTCACTTGTTTAGAATATTTCGGTGTTGGTGGTTTAGAAGATTTTAGGCATAAAGATGGCATACAGCTGACATCCCAGAAAAATAATGGAAGTTAGATAGGGCGAAAAAGAAAGCACAGTTTCGAGAAGTTACCTGCATGACTAATCACAAGAGATGCTGATCTCAGATGGTCAGCAATGCTGGAAGAAAATGTAAAGTAGTCCACAGCCAAGGAACCATCCTCTCCAGCTGACTGCACCAGAAAGGAAGTCACTGGAAAATTGATTCGATTAAAGAAACTATCAGAATACTTAAAAAACCAACCAAAATTCTAATATACCTTTGTTGGGATATAGGACCCTCTACCCATTTGAATGAGGAGATGGGTATACCCTCTTTTTAACAACTCCCCCTTCAAATCCTGAGCATCCGCGGCTCTAACAAGAGCATCAAAGCAAGTAGTTCCCACAGTTACAAAAACTAATTTCTTCTCCTTTACAGCATCCCCAGTCTCTTCCATTTAGAATCCCAAGCAATTCCACTCGACAACTGCCATCAACCCACATTAATACATCATAAACAACTGCATATATGCAATGCTATACTAAGGAACCCATCATTGATAATCAACAACATTCTACCTAAAATAATTCACAAAATTGTAGCTTTTTGGTTTTTATCAGCTCACAAGCGCATATTTAAAAGACCCAAAAATCAAAATCTCCTGCGGATTCAATCAATATGATGCAGACATAGATTTGATTCCTGGCATAACAGCAATTGTAAAAGAAAATAATCCGTGAAAAGGGAATAATGGGTCTATAACTGCAAAAATTATGGATTATTAATCTCGAAATTAAGAGAGGATTGAACATTTACCTGATTTTGAAATGGAAATCGAAATTGGATTCTGATTTTGCAAACACTCGATCAAAATCTGCTTCAACAGAGGTGCAGAATAAATGAAAGTTCTTCAGCGAAAGACCCTTTTTTCTTCAACGGGGAAACTAGATAATAAGGTGTCAAACTTTCATGTTTTTACTATATGAGGAATCAGACTCTCAATTTTCCTAATCAAGGAGTCGAATTTCGCAATTTTACCATCCAAAGCGTACTTGGATTTCAACTGCTGATGTGGCTAACGGAATGGTTGACGGACCTGTGATTTGCTGTCATGTAAAAAAAATGCTCTTTGAATATGGCTTATTAGGACTTAAATATGTTCTTTAGAATGAATTACCTAAGTAATTCAATAATATCTTTTTTTACTAAAAATAAAAAATTTTAAATTTAAATGGCATGATATGTAGATAGGATGAAATAAGGAATGAGAGATGATTACCTATTGTGCTACCAAAATAAAAAACAAAAAAATGTTCTCTAGACATTATTAATTAAAAAACTAAGACACTTCATAACTTTAAAACAGAAACTCAAGATTCCTGTGGAGAATCCTCCTTTGCTTCCTATGCTCAACTGGTTATGTGCAAAACAACCCCTTGTATATTCTCATTAGTGCGGAAAGTAGCCATAACTTTTTAGATGTTACAATTGCCAGGAAATTGGGATGCAGGTTATCTGCTGTTGACCCTTTCAGGGTTGATGTTCTTGGTGGTAATTCCTTAAGATGTTCTGCACTCTGCAAGGGGTTCACGTGGACCTTGCAAGCTACGCATTTTACTTCTGATGTTCTAATGTGGCAACTACAGAGCTCTGATTTGATTTTGGGGATTCAATGGTTGGAAATGCTAGGGGGGTTATCAAATGGATTATCAAGCCCCTTAGGTTGCAAAGCAAGGAGCATGTTCTTTGGGCTTAAAAACAAAGCAAATGAGTGATAATGAATGTATAATCTGAAATTTCCCAAACTATACTGAAGATGCTACTTGATAGTTTTCGTATGAATCGCAGCATGCTTCCCCAGCTCAACTCTGAGGGTCCATATGCAGGGACACT